AGAATACAGAAAGAACTAAAAAAAAAAAATCAGACCCCCTAAATTTAAAGACCCAATCCAAAAATGGGCATCTGAAATGAATAGACACTTCTCAGATGAAGAATTACGAAGGGTAGACAAATATAGAAAAACATGCTCAGGCTTGGGATTTAGCTCAGCGGTTTGGTGGCCTGGCTTGCAAGCGCAAGGACCCGAGTTCAATTCCCAGTACAAAAAAAAAAGAAAAGAAAAACATGTTCAATATCACTGGTCATTCAAAAGATACAAATTAAAACAATACAGGCCTGGGGATTTAGCTCAGTGGTTCCACCACGTGCCTCGAAAGCATAAGGACCAGAGTTCAATCCCCAGTAAAAAAAAAATAAAATTATATATATATAAAACTAACGCTGGCTAGACTGTGGAGAAAAAGGAACCCTTCTCCACTGCTGGTGGGAGTGTAGACTGATGCAAACACTGTGGAAATCAGTGTGGAGATTCCTCAGAAAACTAAAACTAGAGGTCCCACTTAATCCAGCTATTCCCCTTCTTGGTATCTTCCCAAAAGAATTAAAAGCATCATACCACAGCAATGCGTGTGTGTGTGTGTGTGTGTGTGTGTGTGTGTGTGTGTGTGTGTGTGTGTGTGTGTGTGTGTGTGTGTGTGTGTGTGTGTGTGTGTGTGTGTGTGTGTGTGTGTGTGTGTGTGACTGCGATAACAGCAGCATAATTTGTAATAGCTACATCTTGGAAACAGCCAGTGCCCATCAATGGATGAATGGATAAAGATGTGGGCTTTTCATACAATGGAAGACCACTCTGCCATAAAGAAGGATAAGATTGAGACATTTCTACCTAAATGGATGCACCTTGAGACCATACTCTTAAGTGTAATAAATTGGACACATATGTTTAAATAGCACCTTGTTTCCCTGGTGTGAGAAACCGACAGAGCAAAGAAGGTCCAAAATGTATGACAGATATTGGGATATAGGAAGAAAATGTTCACATGGGAAAGGAAAGAAGGGACCAGAAAAAAAGAACAGAAGGTAAACTATGGAAACAAAGCTTTTACAAATAAGGAAAAGAAGAGGAGTTGAAGGGAAGGTGGGATATGAAAAAAGAACAATCAAGATATATTATGAACAGATACAAATTCCCTATCATTAATGTGATCATTGTGTACACCTGAAATGCAGCCATACAAATGACTTTTTTTAACTCTGAACTAAAGGAATTTGTCTTGTCTTTTTCTTTGCAAACTGAAGGAACTGAAATTTGTGATGGTTCCGTTGTCCACAAGACCTGTCACCTGATCATTTTAATTTCCGTCTTTGCTTGCCCGTGTTTGCATACGTTATTTCCTCCTGTGGCAAGCAATTGCTGCTGTTCTTTGCTAGGACATTCCTGGAGGTCCGGTACCCCAGGGACTAGCAATTGAGCAAGCACCAGGCACTGGCTCCCTGGGCCACCAGGTCCCAGAAGCAAATCAGCCTCCTCCTGGCTCTGTGATCAACTGGTCTACAAAGCTAACAATGGCCCATGTCTCAGGACCAAGTGACATCACTTGCACTCTTCATCATTTGTGTTCACAATAAATTCAGGGCAAGGAGCTCTATTACTAATTATCTTGGGTTTTAACCTTGACCCTTAGTCATCCTGATTGCTCTATATTGAATATAGTTTTTCTATTGTAAAATTTTTAATGACTTTGTTAAATATCTGTTCTTATTTGATGATCCAGGGTTCGCCAAGTTGTACTTTCTGTTCCCCAAAACCAGTGGGCAAACGTGGTTTTTGTGAATAATTTATGGAGCTCACTAACTAATCTGCCACCAAAGTGCTTCAATAAGGTGACACAGGTGTCCCCCACAAGTCCCCTTTTGCCTGGACAGTGGTGCTTCCCTGTGGCTGCTTTCGGGGCATATCCTGCCCACCACATGGCTCAGCCAAGCAGCTGCCCTCTGCGCCTTCCCTTCTGCTTTTATGACTCCAGAGAACCCACTGAACCCCAAGATCCCCTCTGGAACCAGCAGACCGGCAACTTAACCGACAGCCCACACCCTCGATTCCTCCTTTTGATGGTTTCTGCCTCTTTCCTCCTTGCTTTTTTGCACCGTTTGCCTAGCTGGCTTTCTTATTCCATGGATGATAAGGTCCTGGAGGGTAGGGAATTTATCTTGCTTAAGCCCTGAGCTTTGCATAATATAAATCACCAATATTTGCTCAATAAATAATATTTTTGTGGTTAATTCTACATTTAGACTCCTAAATGTGAACTGGGCCATTTTATATCTGAAATGAGAAAGAAGGAAAGCATTACTTTTCCTGCATCAAGAACTAAAGTAAGCATTTCTAGCAGTTTTATTTTGGGCTGGGGAAGAGTAGCAAAATCTCTCTCTCGCTCTCGCTCTCTCTCTCATGCATTTCTATGCCTTTTCCTCCAGTCTTTAATAACATGACCTTTATTAGCAGTAAGCACTTGAAAATATACATTTTTTCTTGTACTGTACTCATCAAACCAAATCTATGCATTTAGTGGATATTCCTGTCTTTGTGGTTGGTTTATAAGGATTTCGGTTACATATTTTAGAACCAAAAGAGTGCTATGAATTAGTTGGAAAGAGCAAATTTGTGACACGGAGCTACAAGGTGTATGTATCTTCTTAACAAAAGCCACACCTTCTGACTTGACTGTCCAGCGAGGCAGTGCCTGAGGGGTTCTGTGGTAAAGTGCAGTTCAGCAGCTTGGCCCTCATGTGGCCATAGGAGCGGACGCTGACGGCTGTGGTGCTCCTGTGAAAGGGAAAGGTGTGCCCCTCACCTCCCCCAGAGGTGGGGAGGAGCTGTGATGCAAACGAGCTGCACCCCCTTTCTCAGGACAGCACTTCCTCCTAACTGCCTCCCACAAATGCACCCTCCGCCTTCAGCCCTAGGACAGGGCCGGCCAGGACAACTGTGTCCCCAGCTCCCACCTCATGTCCCCTGCCTGTCTAATCTCACCTCCCCTCCTTCCTCTCTGCTGCCCATGTCCCAGAGTTGTTGTCTTTACTCGAGTGGTTGAACATCTGATTGAGAACATAAGATCCCATATATCTCCCCATTTGAGGCTGATACTCTGTGATTTGAGTCATATAAATTATCATAAAACCAAGACAAATTCAGAGAGCTTAACAATAGCCATTTTCAGTAAGACTGCATTCTCTACAGCCCACAGAATAACGCTGCCTCCAAGACAGTACCTTCTCTGTCAGTGACTCTCATTCCACAATGCTAACATGACAAGGGCCCAGGAACATTCTCAAGACTAGAACATACATTTGTAGCCTAATGGGGCTTCACAAATAGCACTTCCTGATGTAAAGCTACAGGCAGAGTGAGAACTGAACTTCTAACTGAGGTATGCAGGAAAGCTTTACTCTAACACCCTGGCAACACAGACACTGAAACGACTGGGCTGCACTTGAATAACAAGGCTGCATCACAGCTACACATAATTAGAGATGCATTTTTTAAAACTGGTGTTGAATTGCAGGGGGAAAGCACTTTGGACACCAGTCTAATCTCCTTCAGCAAGAATCCTCAGCACAGAAGTCAGACGGGTCATTCAGCCTGCAAATACCTAAGGAGATAAAGGATGCTTTGTCTGCGGACTCCCTTTCCTGCACTGGATAGTTCTGTTACAAGGTCATTCTGATGGCAAGTCAGAATCTGCTTGCTGCTGTTTCCAACCATGAGCTGGAATCTGTATGATATAAGGGGCGGGACAGAAATGGGTTTGAATCCAGGTTTGCTGAGTACTTGGGACAAAGCCCTGTCTCTGCTGTTAGTGATGTATCCTCTTGTTTTATCTAGTGAGTTAGAAATGCTGACTAAATGTCCTGACTATTGGAACACCCAGCAGACAGTCGCTGGTCTCAGCAGTAGCAGACCTAGCTGCAGCCCAGTGACACAGCTAACTTTCCCCAGGGACACTTGACATCTGCCAGTCTCAAAATCCTAATTCTTCCTTGAATGCTTACATGTCGTACTTCCAGACCCCGGCACCATCACAGATTTCCTCCATTGGTTTCCTATAGGAAGTGTTCCTTGGGGCGGCAGGTGGGGTAGCTCAGTGGTACAGAGCTTTCCTATTAAGTGTGAGGCCCTGGGCTCTGTTCCCAGCACCCGAGAAAGAGAAAGAGAAAGAGAAAGAGAAAGAGAAAGAGAAAGAAAGAGAAAGAGAAAGAGAAAGAGGAAGAGGAAGAGGAAGAGAAAGAGAAAGAGGAAGGGAAAGAGAAAGAGGAAGAGGAAGAGGAAGAGGAAGGGAAGGGAAGGGAAGAGGAAGGGAAGGGAAGAGAAGGGAAGGGAAGAGGGGGAAAAGAGCTAAGGGGAGGAAAAGGGAAGAGAGGAGAGAAGAATGAGAAAAGAAAGGAAGAAAGAGGGAAGGAAACAAGCAAGCAAGCCAGGCGTGTTGGCACAGGTGGAGGGAGTTTAAGACCAGCCTGGATTACATAGTGAGACTCTGTCTAAAAAAAAAAGTCTGATGTGATGTGTTGGCACACACCTGCAATCCCAGCACTCTGAGAGGCTGAGGTAGAAGGACCACAGTTTGAGCCCAGCCTGGGAAATGTAGTATTTTAGCAACAGCCTGTCTCAAAATTTAAAAAAAACATTTAAAGGGCTGGAATGCAGCTCAGAGAGAAGGCTCTGAGTTCAATCCCCTGTGCCAAGAAAAAGGAAGGAAGGAAGGAAGGAAGGAAGGAAGGAAGGAAGGAAGGAAGGAAGGAAGGAAGGAAGGAAGGAAGGAAGGAAGGAAGGAAGGAAGGAAGGAAGGAAGGAAGGAAGGAAGGAAGGAAGGAAGGAAGGAAACACTCCTTCACAAATACCCTGGCCGTGCGTCCCTTCAGATACGACCATGGAAATGAAAGCAGACATTAATAAATACCTGGTGAGGGGCTGCCTCTGGAGCTCTACGGTAGCAGCTCAGACACTCGCCCCCCGCCCACCACCCAGACCACTGCGTGCAGGTGGCCGCGCACCTGCACGTCCTGCTCCAGCTTGATCTTGATGACGATGTACTCTTCACGGTCCCAGAGCCGTTGCTGGTTCAGCTGCTGCTCGCATTCCTCCACTCTCTTCATGCGGTTGACAAGGTACTCCAGCTGTATTGCAGGGAAGCCAGGGAGAGACTTAGGGCCCTCTCCACCCCTGCTCAATCCTTCCAGCAGCCTGAAAAGCGTGGCACAGGGTAAGGTTCGGAAGTTCCATGGCTGGGGATGTCTGGTGGCTTTCAGTGGCCCTGAGGCTCTGATCTCTTGGATTATGGGCTGCATTACTTATGCGGCCCTTGATCCAGACACTCCAAGAGAAATGCTCCACTAGGAGACTGAACACAGACCTAACCATCATTTATATTTCTAAAAAAAAAATCCCTCTGGGTCTTGGCCAGGACCCTTCTTCATTCCTTAGCTCTCTGAAATAAAGTGGGAAGTCCATACCCCTTAAAATACCATCTCGGGCCATGAGTATCCACGGCTGGGGTAGATACCCAAGGAGAAAGTGGCAGGACCATGGAAATCACAGCAAGCTGCAAAGGTGGTCGGTGCTCACGCCCCAGGGGGACACCCTCATGGCCAGGCCACATGGATTAACCGTGTGACCCAGGGTATGAAAGGCTGGCCTCCCAGTCACAGAGGGAGTCACCCTGGACTCCACCTGCCCCCCTTTACCTCCTTGGTGCTGTGAGCCTGCAGTGCCCACTCCCATTTCTTCTTGTTGCTGGTCAGCAGCTCCTGTCTTTCCACCTCAAAGGCTTTCTACGACCAGGAGGGGAGAAGGCCCGTGTCTACTTTCAGCAAGCAGGCCCCATCGGTACCAAAGAAATTTTAGATAACCACACCATCACCAGCCATAAAGACTAAGTCACACCGACCTGCAGACCACCCAAAGTTCATTAAGTGTTACGAAGTCTATACTTCACACGAATTTAGAGGGGGAAATGCGCCAACAGAGGCCAGGAGCTGGAGGAAGACCAAGGCAGTCGTGGGGAGAACCCTGCGTGAAACCCTGACGGCCAACGAGGACGTGGGTTCAAGTTCAAGGTCCTGGTCCCTGAATCCTGCCTGGCACTCCCTTCCCCAACCCCCCGTCCCAACTGCCATAAATAAACAAACATGGTCACATATGCCAATGGTTGTACGGTCCTAACCTCTCCCTGTCACTCCTCATTCCTGTCTTATTTTCTCTCAAAACACTAAGTTATCAAATTATGCAGCTACTAATGCCTCTGTTTATTTCTGACTATCTCCTAGTAGAACACAGGCTCCACTGGGGACCTTGTTTTGTTCAAAGTTGTACCCTGGGCCCCTGGAACAGTGCCTGGTATAGCATAGACACTTAGTGGTTACTTGAATTAGTGCGTGAGTGAGTGAATAAATTAACAACATTCTAGAGCTGAGACAGAAATCAGAAGACAAAGACATCTGGGTCCTCACTTCCATCAAGGCTGACCCAGCCCTCCCTAGGGCTCCCAGATGCAGAAAGCAGTCTTTTTTGTTTTGTTTTGTTTTTTCCCATACCGGATTGAACTCAGGTCCTTGGGCTTGTGTGGCAGGCAGCTGAACCACTGAGCTAAATCCCAGGCCCAAGAAAGCGGTCTTTTCCCACCCCTTGCCTCGATGTGAAGGAGCTCCTGGCGGAAGGCTTTTGTCATGCTCTTCACCTGCTCCTCCATCCTCTCCAGAAGCAGGGAGATGTCATCTGCCTGTTTCTTCAGGTCCTTCACATACTGGTCATCCTTGGTTTTTAACTCCTTGAGATCCACGTGAGATCAGAACATGAAATGCAACAGATCAGACAGACACCAAGCTTAAATAGTGCATGGCATCTCTTACATGAGAAACCCAAAGTATAAATAAAGAGCAAAATAAAAGGCAGATAAAAGAAAATGGGGAGAGCGATCTTTTGCAGATGGGAAGGGGACCAAGAGATGGAGGGAAGAGCAGGAGAAAGGAGGGGAATTAAGACAGGCGTGCACACGTACCAACTCCTTACAATGAACATCAGTGATGTATTTGAAATGTAGCAATAAAGCTAAAGTTTAACACAGAGATTTATAAGGTTGGCAGAATGCAGATGCCAAGCACATGCCCCCTGGTCCCCTCCATCAGAAACTGTAAACACTAACGATGAAACTGTACAAAGCAAAGAATGCCCCAGACAGTCTCTGAAGGTGTGGAGGAGATCACAGGTGGATGGGCTAGAACAGGTCAGCTCAGGGTAACAGGAAATGAGCACACAGGATCAGACCCCTTGATTATGACTCACTGTAAATCTCCCCACCAGACCCCAGGAAGCCTACAGCATCCTGGCCAAGCAGTCAGGGTCCAGGTCTAACACCAGGCCACATCTCCTGCAGACTAAGTTCCATTCCTCCAGCAGGAATGGCAAATCCGAAACAGTGTTTGCTACAAAAGTACATCTTTCTATTTGAGAGCCAATGATTCTAAACTACTACAAAGCTTTTTCTACAGTCGAAAATGTATTGCTAGGCATGGTGGTGCCCACCTATAATCCCAGTTACTCAGGAGGCTGAGACCCAAGAATCACAAGTTCAAGGATAGCCTGGGAAATTTTGTGAGATTCTGTCTCAAAATCAAATTTTAGAAAGGGCCAGGGATGTGCTGGTGTGAGAGAGCAATACAGTAACTGTTGATGAGGATGTGGAAAAAATGGGAACCTTCATGCACTGTTGGTGGGATATAAACTCTGCAATGATTATGGAAAAGAATACAGAGGTTCTTCTAAAGATTGAAAACAGCAACACTGTAAGACCCAGTAATTTCACTTTTAGGTATACAGTTAAAGGAATTCAAAACAGAATCTCAAAGAGTTCATAGCAATATTATTCACACTAGCCAAGAGATGAAAGCAACCTAGATGTCTCCAGAAAAATATGATAAAAAAATGGTAACACATATATAGGCACATATATGTGCATATTATGCAGCCTCGAAAAAGGAAAAAATTTCTGTTGAATGCTACCACATGGGGTACGTTATCCTAAGCAAAGTAAGCCAGTCACAAAAGGATATATACTGTATGATTCCACTCATATGAGACTACTCTCTCTAATAGCTAAAACCATAGAAACAGAAAACCAAGAGACAGTTAACAAGGGCTGCAGGGAGGGAGAAAGGAATTAATATCTAACAGTGTTTTCGTGCTGCAAGATGAAAATGTTCTGGAAATCTATTGTGCAACAACGTGAATACACTAAGGCTACTGAACCAGACGTTTTAAAAATAGTGAAGGATAGTCGGGCATGGTGGCGCACGCCTGTAATCCCAGCACTTGGGAGGCTGAGGCAGGAGGATCACTGTGAGTTTGAGACCAGCCTGGGCTACACAGTGAGTTCCAGGTCAGTCTCAACTACGTAGTGAGACCCTGTCTTAAAAAACAAAACAAAACAGTGAAAGTGATCGATTCCATAGTGCACAGTTTTTAACCACTAAAAACTCATTACAGAAAGAAAGCTGATCATTTGAGTCAGGCAGCATTCTAAGTAATCAAGTGCAGCCTTCACGTTTCCATTCAGGAAAAGCAGACCAGAGAACCAGCCCAATCCTGCAGCCAGACCCACCCACCCGGCTCGGGTGGACCCCCGGGCTCCTGCCTGCTGCAGTTCGCTGCTGAGCTTGTTCTTGTCTTCTATCAGCCCAGCACAGAGCAGCTGCTGAGTGCTGAGCACGTCCCACAGCTCCTGAGGAATCTGCTTCTGTCTGCCCTCCTTCCACCTGGCAGTGATTTCATCGAATTCGTCCTGGCTGGTCTTGACTTCATTCTCCAGCTTCTCCGTTCTGCAAACACAAACACGCCAGAGGCTCCAGAGGCGGCCTTGCAAGTGCGGGCCAGTTCTCCACAGTCTCCGGTGCCCGGTGCATTGCAGAACCACAGTCAGACCCCGACACCAGGCTTCGCCACCTCCCCACACCCCGTAAATGACCAGCGGAACTACAGGACAAGTAGAGAAATCCACCGCAAGAAAGGAGAAATAGGGATCGCCTTTCCAGAAACCCCAGAGAAACTGTGAAGGGCCTCGAACGTCACGCTAAGTCTCTGAAGGCTTAGGATGAGATGAGAGGGGAGGCGTTAGAGCTAACACGGGAGCTCAGACAGTGCTGGAGCCCACGCCCGCCGCTCTGCCTGTATTCAACACACTGCAACTCATGCAACCGTCTCCAAACGGGACGGCAGAGTCCCAGCTGAAACACGCCCTGAGCCTCACTGTCCTCCGTTCCCCTTCTCCACCCGCCTTCCAAGCCAGGGCACACAAAGCGCATTCCAACTTGATAGAGGGCTGGCATTCGGAATAGCTGGACAGCTGCTGGGTCATCTTTTGGAAAAACATTTATCCGGAACTCTGCCACTTTGGAGGTTCCATTTCCCTCAGGGGCCGTAGGGTGAAGCCTCCCTCCTTAGCGTGACACCGAGGGCCTGTCGGGAGCTGACCCCACAGGTGATCAGCCAGTTCAGCTGTTGGTGCCACCCTTTCAGGCAGGGGAAGTTTCAAAAATAAAGTCACCAGTCTACCCCGGTAGCATAGCTGGTAAAGCCGCTAAAGGGGGAACGGCTCAAGCTGAACAATTTAAAAAGTAGTATGCACATGTTTAGCTAAAATGGTCCGATGATTGACCGTTTCTAATCGAACTGTTTGGGAAATGAAGACGATTCCAGAGTAGATTAAATGAGAACCTCTGTTCTTGCTATGAGTCCACTTTCTGTATGTAAACGAAAGACTGCTTTTTGTGATCCTGGGGACTGAACCCCGGAACTTGCACACATGCTAGACAGTGTCCTACCACTGAGTTGCAGCCAACATCTTTCTCTTTTTTCTTTTTATTTGAGGTAAGTTCTTGCTAAGTTGCCCAGGCCATTCTTGGACTTGCAATCCTTCCTCAGCCTCCCAAGTACAGTAGCTGGGATTATAAGCGTGCACCAGCATGCCCAGCTGAAAGGTGATTATTCTAAATAGCTGACACCTCCCTGCTGGGCAAATGGGACTTGGGAAGATAGGTGTGGAAGGCAGCTCGCCTACCAGGCTGAGGTCTGACGCATGTCCTTCTGTCTCTGTCCTAGGCATGGAGTCTTTAACACACTTTAACACACTTTAATATGCTGCCACATTTGTACAGTGTGAACACTCAGAGCTCTACGGGCCTGGTCATTCTGATCAGTTAAACCCAGGAACTTCCCTGTGGACCTTTTCAGCTGCATCTGTATTCTTCCACCCACCCCATGCATCCTAACCTATCACGCGTCTCCAGGCACACCACGTGGTCTCATGCCTCTGCTCATGTTCCACAACTTCTACCTATTCCTTCCAGCCTAACTCGAATGTTGCCTGGGAAGTTTTCTCTAATCTCTGCAGACTCCCAGAAACCTCCTGTGTATGTTTCCTCCTGACACCTGCCTGCTTACATGTTCCCATGTTGACCACAAGCAGAGGCCAAGTGAGGTGAGAATTTTGTAACTACCCACCTTGGCACATGTCAGCAGTGTAACGCTTGAGAGAGGAAGCAGTCCACGAGGAAGAAGAGAGGGAAGGAAAAAAGGAGGGAGGGAGGATTTATATGGGGCCAAAGAGGTATTCTAGGCTAAGCGGGACACAGTCACTTTTCAACAACTGTGGTGACTTCGGTAGCCTACAGGGATTCCCGCCATGCCTGCCAGTTTTCTAAGAAGTGAGCCTCTCACCTCTGACGCTTTATCTCCTCTTCTTCCACCCTCCTGTGGATCTCCCTGACATCTATAGCCACCCGGATATTTGTCACCAATTCAGTGCCATAGAGCAGCAGTTTAGCCAATTTCTGAAAACAAAGAGATGAGAATTTAGAAAGTTAAAACACACTATGAAGAATTTAGAAAGTTAGAAGTGTGTGTGTGTGTGTGTGTGTGTGTGTGTGTGTGTGTGTGTGTGTGAAAAGTAGATAGTTAAGTGTGTGTGTGTGTGTGTGTGTGTGTGTGTGTGTGTGTGTGTGTGTGGTGCTGGGGATGGAACCCAGGGCCTTTCCCAAGTTAGACAAATGCTGAACTATAATCCCCACCCAGTTACAAACATGTGCACATTTCATCTGTAGCTCTTCTATCCACCGAGGCAGGAATCGATAGAAGAGCAGCATCTTTTTAGCAACCTTTTCCATCAAGACATTGCAATGTGACATTACAGCTACACTTTACTAGCATCTTCTTGGAGTAGGAACCAGCCAACTAGTACACTGCCACAAGCTATCAGCACATCCCAGCCCTGTCACCAACAGATCCCCAAGTAACTGACCCTACCCAGGTCCTTCCTATGAATCTCAGTTGGAGAGGTGAGGGAGTAATGGCAGCTATCCTCCAACATTCATTTCCTCCTCTGCTGTAACAGAGCACCCACCTTTTAGCTCCTCATGCAACCTCCCAGCCTCTCTTACAGCTAGAATATGGTCTGCCCAATGGGCACATGACAGAAGTGATGTGCACCACATGTGAATTGCGCCTTTAGGGGCGAAGGCAAACTCTCTCCAGCCCTTCCATTCGTCCCCTCCCTCCAGGCTGGAATGTGGGGCTAACCTGAGAATGGCAGGGGCTGAGACAACAAGGAGTCCCATAGCCCTGCACTGCTCCTGCCGGGGACTACTGAGTAAGGTAGTCAAGGAAGCAACTATCTCATTGTGGCTAATGTTGTATGGGTTTTTGTCATAACAGAAACTAACTGCTCTATAATTTTATGGGCACGGGGGATTTTTTTTCTGCCCTCAGTGCCCACTTCTAAGGCCACAAGCAGTATCTTCACTCCCAGCCATTTTGTAATGTTATGATTTCATGACGATAAATCCTCCACCAAAATTTCAGATATCTGGGGTTATGCATAAAGTTTTCCACGTGTGTTTTGGAATTTGTAAACTCTCTAACTCTCCAATTATTTCCAATCTAAGACTCGGTTAGGGATGTAGCTCAGTAGCAGAGCACTTGCCTAGCATGTGTGAGACCCTGGGTTTGGTCCCCAGCGCTGAAAAAATAAAATGAGCTAAGAACCAATTTATGAATCAACTTCTATTCCAAGCAGTCACCACAGTGCTCAAACACTCCATTCATCTCCCCATTCTGTGGAAATTCTGAAATGTAGTGTCAGTGAATAGAGAATAAGACTTAAGCCAGATATCCAGGGCATTCCAGGTCTTTTTAATGCCTACAGATTTATCATTCATATCAAATAGTTTTATACACATATGAAAGTCATGGCTTTCCTGTGGTTGTGAGAAATTTTCTATTTTTTACTCAATGTGAACATCGGAAATTTCTCAATCAAGTATTTTAGACTCAAAATAATATTAAAAATCTAAATAGTATAGTCACCAGTATGCCAGCAGACCCATGCACTTACAGGATCCACGGAAGAGTTTAAGTGGAGGCCCTCATACCACTCACAACTGGGCAGCTAAGGGAGAGCCAGTCTGGCCCACCATCCACTCCCACCTCTGACTAGCAGGCAAGAGGGGCTTCCAGGTCTGAAAGCTCAGGGACTGCAAAACAGTGGCCCTGCTTAGTAAAACAGACCCCAAAGAGAGGCCCACCAAGGCCTTGAGGGTGAGCTCAGAACCACTTCTATGAAGTGGGCTGGAGGACCTGTCTTCCTCACTAAGGTAAGAAAAAGAAACAGTATAAAACTTGAACAGACAGAAATAAAACAGTCATTATTTTCAGATGACCTGATTATTCGTGTAAAAAAAATCCCAAAGAACCTACAGGTTATTATCAGAATTAATAGAATTAATAAGCAAATTTGGCAAGGTCACTAGATACCTTGTCAATACATAAAAACCAAATATGCTTTTGTGTGAAAACTTGTCTGATCACAGCCTTGTGGTTTGCAATTTGGAATGTCCCCTACAGGCTCACGTATTAAAGGACTGGTCCCAGTGTGGAAGTGTTCAGAGGTGGAGCTCTGGGGAAGTGACAGGGGCCCAAGGGCTCCGACCATATAGGTGAATTCACTGTTGGGCTCCAGCGGGTGGTGGACACTTCAGGAGGAGGAGCCTCACTGAAAGAAGTAGTCGCTGAAAGGGTCTAACCTCTCCCCAGGTATCTCTCAGTTCCTCTACCCCTTTCACCATGGGCCCAGAAGCAGCAAAGCCAAGTGACCAGGGATTGAAACTATGAGCCAAGGTTGTTTATTCCTGGGTATTTTGTCACAGGGACAGAAAGCTAACGCAACCTCATCAAAAATTGTTAAAGATTACTGAGTGAAACTGAAGAATATCTACATAGGTGGAAGGATGTTTTACATTTATGGGTTATAAATTCAGTTCAATTAAAATCCCAGCAGATTTCTGTGGAGTTAGAAATTGACAAGCTGATTCTAAAATTTACATAGAAATGCAAAGGGCCAGGAATTGCCAAGACAATTGGGAAGAACATGGTAGGAGAACTTACCCTACCAGATACTGAGGTCTGTTGTAAAGTTACAGTAATTAAAAGTATGGAACTGGCATGAAGACAAATAGGCCAATGTAACAGAATAAAGAATTGTGAAAAATAAATGTATGGGAATCACTTGATTCGTAACAAAAGTACATGCTATGCAGTAGAAAAGGATAATCTTTTCAATAAATGCTTCTGGGTCAATTAAAAATCTATATAGAGAACATTTAGCTTTGAGCCCTACCATATATCACACACACACAAATCAATTCTAAATAGAGTGCAGACTAAAATATAAGTGGTATAATAATAATAAACGGTCTAGAAGAAAATCTTCATTCACTTGGAATACACAAAGATTAAATTGGACAAGAAAAACTATTTGTTTTAGTTACTTTCTCATGGCTGGGACAAAATACCCAACACCCACAATTTAGAGAAAGAGAGGTTTATTTGGGCTCACAGTTTTAGAGGATTCCATAGTCCATAGTCAGCTGGCACCAAGGTAGAAAGGGCCTGGTGGGAGGGCCTGGTGGAGGGATAGCTGCTCCTCTCTTGGGACCCAGGAAAGCAAGGAGTATCCAGAAATGAGAACACAGCCTTCCAAGTCAGCCCCAACCCTGTGATCCAGCCCTTCCGACAACCCCCCTCCAACATGAAATTTCTGGGGGATAATTTAGAATTTTAAAAAGTGATTCATAGAGCACAAGACCAAGGACAGGTCTGAGGGCAGAAATGGTCATCAATACCTTGGTCTTGAGGACCCCAGCATTTTTGTATACATTTCTCTGTGATGTCAACATTCACTACTTCAGTCCTAAGTGAAAGGAACCTTGAAAAGCTCTAGTGATGATTATTACCCCTTTCATTCCACACTCAAGAAGATGAAAAGAAACTCACGATGAGCAGCACATTGGTATTTTCAAGACCCTAAGAATGCCTTAGGCTACACACAAATGTTCAGAGATCACTGGCTTTTAAAGGAAGAAATTTAACTATGAACAAGTGATGTGGAAGGCGAGAGATGTGGAACAAGAATGCTTGTTCGTCTAATATTTTTCCGCTATGGTAAAATAACTTTTCCCAGACACGGTACATCTCTATGCTTTGTAATCTTTCAGTAACCTGACTATTTTTTCTTCCAGAGAATACACTTAGTTTTGCCAGAAATCATCTCCATTTCTCCTGCACAACACTTTTTATAAATCCCACCTTTTTGTCTAAGGCTCAGCTCAAGTTCCACTTTCTGCATATAATTTCCCTGCTAAGCCCACTGGCAAGCATATTTGGTCACACAGGACCCCTGTCTGGGTATTTCATTTAGCAATTAAGTATGCCATTTTGCCAGTTCTGGTTTGCTGTTTCAAGCTGTTGTTTTTCCCTCTCAAACCTATATTTCTACATCCTTTATTAAATATCTCAGGAGCCCTGTCCTTGCCAGAGAAGAGAGAATGATTTTTTTATTTTTTTTGAGGTGAGATTTTGTATGTTTCTCAGGCTGGTCTTGAACTCATAGACTCAAGCAATCCTCCTGCCTCATCCTCCTGAGTAGCTAGGGTTAAGGAGGCCTACCACCACGCTTAGCAATTTTTTTTTTTTTTTCAGTGCTCGGAATTGAAACCAGGGCCTCATACTAAGCTACATTCCCAGACCTTTTTATTTTTTCTTTTGAGACAGGGTCTTGCTAAGTCACCCAGGCTGGCTTTGAACTTGTGAATCTCCTACCTCAACCTCTTGAGTAGCTGAGATTACAGGTGTGCATGACCACACCTAGCATAATTCTTTTGTTTTGTGTTTTTGGTGGTGCGAAGGATTGAACCCAGGGCCTCATGCATGCTGAGTATTCTACCAGAGAGCTACACTCCCACCCGATTTCTCTTTTAGTGTTTATTAGTGTAAGCTCTAAATACTCCACAGCTAGGAAGAGAGACCATCACACTCACAGAGCTTCTAAATTACTTGGGGATGCTACACTCACACACATTTGGAAAGTCACACAGGCTGACAACTAGCTAAAATGAGTGACTGCTATAGAAAAGTACTGCATGTGTGGACTAAAGGAGTTCGGGCTGCTGTTGCATCAGGCTGGGGTGTCTGAGGGGTTAGGAGTCCCTGGGAACTACCCTCAGCCTCACTGCTCTGAAGAAGGAGGGAGGAGGCCCGACTGACTCAAAGCCAACACCTCGTGCAGCACATGAGGAAGTCGGGACTGAAGAGATGTCCAGTGAAAGTTTATTTATGATGCAACACATGCAGGAAAAAGCTACCTCAACAGCGGAGTGGGCTGCAAGGTAGGGGGCTTCAGGGGGTTGCCCCATGGGTCTAGGGTGTACTCCTGGGGGTAAATTGGTTTCTAAAAATACCTTTCACCAGTTGGTGTAATCTTGGCCCATCAGGGTCTTAGCCATCGTTCCTGGGGTGAGGAAAAGGTCAGGGTGCGGGGTCCCTCCAGTGCACGGGCCACCAGGTCTTGCACTGTATTCCCTGCCTACGCCCCCTCTCATCCGTCCCTACTCTGGGCTGAGCAAGAATCCACAAGCCGCTGGGAAGTATAACTGTCCCAGAAGAAGAGGAGAGGGGGAGAGGAGGTACGAGAACTGAGGACCTGAGGGGCCCAGACATCAAGGCTCAGAGCAGGGAGGAGGAGCCCCTGGGATGAGGGGGTGGATGCCAGGCCTGAATGAGGCCAGGGTGGGAGTTGAGAGCCTGCAGGGTTAGAATGGGAACCGAGACTCTGGGCTTTGTCCCGTGACTGTGAGCGACCACTAGGAGCACCTGGTGCGCAAGCTGGCTCCTGCAGAGGCCCCGCTCTGCCTGGAGGCAGTGGCCCCGGAGGCACCATTCCTTCCAGCCTAAACCTGGCCTCTGCTGTCCCCACCCCCAGCACCCTCGGGCATGGACTTCCTACCAATCTGCTCTCTTCTCTCTGTTTGTGGCTCTTGCTCTGATCTTCTTCACTCTCCTTCTTCCCGTCTAAATATTCTCCAAGCGCTTCCCTGCGGCAGGAAAAAAAAAAACAAAAAACGGAAAACCCGGTTACTTCTAACATGTAAATACTGCACAGTAAAGTTTCGTGGAACCTCACCACTCACCATATAGAGAAATACACTCCATTCAGGTAAAAATGTCAATATTAAAAAAATACAATCATATAAATACTAGAAGTTAACATAGGAGAACGTATCGTAGAGTCCGTCTCTGAATAAAACAAACCGTGGGTGGATACTGAAGATTTTTACTTTCTAAAATTTAAAAATGTTAAAAGTCAAGGCATAAATCGGTAAAATAAATTTGATAAAATTTTACTATCTCTAAAATAGACCCTGGGTTCAATCCCCAGTACACAAAAAAGAAAAAGAAAAAAATGACTCCTTCAAATAATATCAACCCCCCCACCAAAATGCCAAATATAAATTAATAGGAAATTTGAATGTGCATTTTACAGAAGAAGAACACATGGGAAATGAACATTTGAAAATGTCAGCTCAAATATAATCAGGGAAACTGAAGCCCTGAGAAATCTCTCTCCTATCCGAGTAGAAAACATCTTAAAGGTTGAAAATACCAACATAGGCTAAGACTTTGGGTGCCCGGCTATTTACACCCCATTTAAACATGTAACTCCCTGTGTAAAAGGCAATGGGGAAGGTTTATCAGACATTTAAACATCCTCCCCTCTGACCCAACACCCGCCATTGAGAATCTTCCACCCGAAGCTCTCACAAGCACACAAAGAAACAAGCACAGAAATCTTACTGCGGCACTGACTCTAACAGGAACCTGGGAATATTCCCCACACCCAGCAGTAGCTGACTGTTCAAGTAACTTGTGGAGAAACACTTTAAGGAAATACTCTGTCTCCTACAAAAAGGATGTAATGTAGCACTATGCAAAGACGGCCACGGCCGTCAGGTAAAAAGAGCCAATGGTAGCTTCCCACGGGTCCCTGGCTGTTCCTGCCACTCAGCTTTCTATACGCTCACGTAGCACTGGCAAGGACAGAGCCCAGGGCCTCCCGCTCTGCATGAGCTACACCCCCCGCCCCCTTATTTTACAGTAACACACTTGTGATTCGGCCCGTTCATCCAGCTCTAAAAATATATTGCCATACAGCTGCAGGGCTGAAGCAGGAGGATTGCAAGTTCCAGCCCACCCTGGGCAAGTTAGTGCAACTCTGTCTACACATAAATAAGGCTGAGGACATAGCCCATGTGAAAATCCGCAGCACCGCAAAACCAAACAGGAAAAACAGTTCTCTGAACTCTGGCCAGAGTAACTCCATTGTGTAGCAGGCTCCTGTTCAGCTCTACAGAGAGCCCTGGCAGGTGCTGAGGCTGTGTGCCAGAGTGACCACCGCTATGGCGTGATGGAGCCTGCCGGGGCCGGCGGGGGTCCCCATGAGCATGGGAGGGGAACCGAGTATGCAGAACTTGCCCCACTTGGCTTCTGCTTCTGCTTTTTCATTACCCTAGAGCCACACAAAAGCATAGCTCAGAAAATGGGATGAGGGTGGAGACTTCGGTAGTCTGTCGCTCGTGAGCCACTCGCTGCCCTGTTAGTACCCTAATAAAGTCTATTTGCACGTCAAGCTGGTCTCCACTGAATCATTCTTTGGACTGTCACCCTCAGTTTGGAGGCAGACATTTCTTTTACATCTCTTTGAGAAATTTACAGAGCACACATTCATCAGAATTGTCTAGTATCTTCCTGACCCTGACTTTGAGTAGCCTCCACTTCATGCAGTTTTCTTGAACATCTGCACAGACGGGTGTGTGCCCTTTCCCAGGGAGCCAATACGAAGAGAACAGGTACATTTTCGCTCCAGGCATCTCTCCAGTAAAGCTCTCTCCTTGTGGCCAAGGCCTTGGCTTTTCCCACTGTCTCAAGTGAGACTCGCCGGGACACTGAGCTGTCATTCATCTCTGTGAGGCTCAGGAGGCAGCGGGAGCAGGCAATATTTCCAGCCACATCACCAAACACCACCACCGTGTGACAGCCCGAGGCCAGCAGTAACACCGCTCTGCCAGGACTAACCCTGCTCTGCTCCTGTCGTGGTCATGACAAAGACCTTACATTAGCCTTATCCAGAACTGACCTGGAAGGGATCAGATGGGGTTTTGCTCTGCCTAACCAAAGCAGACCATCTTCACCTTACTAACGGTGCCACCCTGCTGTTACCGCATGGTCTGCCTGTCTTCTCTCTGAAAGACCCCATGAAGCCACAGCCATAGTAGTAACAGGACTGGGGACTGCACTGCACCTTGAACTTTTTCTCCTGCCATGTCATCCCACTGCTTCAGAGCCCTGAGGATAGCTGTCTTTAGTGACCTTTTCCTTTTTTCCCAGTTGAAATCACTTTAGTACTTGAAGATACTTGCACAAAGGACCCAAGAGACACTGTCAAGTAGAATAAATATAAAACTACTTTATTGACAACATTAGCCTGTTGACTGTAAGTCTTCTAACGCTGCATTTTGGTCTTGCCCTTTTCTCCTGTTTGGCTCTTTCTTTCCCCACCACTGGTAATTTATTCTTCACAGATTGTTCTTATTTACAGAAATCACCATCTCATAGTAATTCTTAAGCAAGAACTTGGAAATCCTGGCAAGTCCTTATGCCCTACTACATTAGTTTACATTTAGTCTTCTGACAAATTACATTTCAAAGTTTTAACTGTCTTGAAAAATATAAAATTTTCAGGATAAAAAAAAAGACAGCTTTAGAACAATATGTAGAACAATGTATACATTTTCTTTTTAAAACAGGCTCATATACACGTTTTCCAAAAGATCTGTGACAAACAGAAAACCCTTACTGTTTAAGGAAAAGGAATTAAACTACTGAGGACTTCTATTTTCTACACTTCGTTATTGCATGAATTTTTACAAATAGTGCATGTGTGCTTGTATTAATCAGAAAATGAAAGTAAAGAGGCAAGGGAAAGATCAGGTTCCAGAGTATGGACGTCTCTGGGGGTGGCAAGAGAACCACCTTGCCAACTCTCATGCCACTGTCGCTCTGGCACAGAGCACGCATCAGGGCTCCTTGCGCCACTCTAGGAAAAAAATGAAACCATCATTTACTGGGAAACAAGTGGACCCTTCACCTCATTCTTTCATGGCCTTTTCTAACGTAGACTTCCAGCACCACCTCCTTTGTTCAAAGTCCAGCACAGCCCACACAGCAATACACCATTTTTGGGACACACGGCTCCCACCATCCCCAATGCAACCAAAACCCCTTTTTCCCTCATCATTTCATTTGCATCCCTGATCTTACTGAACCTGTCTTGGTTTTCTTAGTAAAAACACTAATTGTTCTGTTCCACTTTGGTCTTCAGACATCACTAGACTAACAAGTGTTCTCATCCCCACCCAAATGTACTCCTTCTCCTTGACTTTCTACTTTGACCCCCAATTAATTAATTACCAACTCTATCTAAATAAACCCTTCCAGCCACTTCCTGGGGCAAAGATCAGGCTTCAGAAAGAAACCTGCAGTCCAGATCTAATACAAATTCTTTTCTAGTTTCAATGTGAATCACACTGCTACCTTTTTATTCATCAGTTTTGACCGCCAAGCACTTTGCTGCCCACCCTGGTGGCCACCCAACCACATGTGACCACCAGGCATTTGAGATAGGGCTGGTCCAACTCAAATGGGCTCTGAGTTTAAAATGTACAGCAGAAAATGTTCAGATAAGAAGGCGAACGAGGGAGGGGGAAGGGGGAAGGAAAGCAGAGGTAAGAAAAACAGAGAGAATAGAAGGAAAAATGAAAACAAAGCTTTTGTATATAAAGGGGGAAAGAGGAGTGGAAGGAGGGAGAAGAAATGGGGAAAAAAGAAGCAAGATGTATCATGTATGGGTACAGACTCCCGATGAGCAATGTTATCAGTATGTGTAAATAAAATGTATCAATAAATGTTTTGCTTCAAAAAAATACACTAGATAGATTTTGAGTAAAAAAAAAAAATGCAGTATGCCTCATTAATACCAGGTGTGACAAAAATACATGGGGTTAAAAATGCATTACAGTAAAAGATATATTGCCATTAATCTCCCCTCATACATATCGTATTGTTCCTAGCACTTTTTTCCCCCATAAACTGCAATTTATTATAGGTTAGTAGGGGAGAAAGACAGTATACAGATGAGATCTGTTATAAATGCGACGAGGGGAAAGATCTCACAGGGGAAAAGTTCCTCTGGACTCCTTAAACGTTTGTGAGAGATATGGTATAGGACAGCTGCTATCTGTTGTTGGGGCCCTAGAGTGGGGCACTGGGTGAGTTAAACTTTCAGCTCATCCATGCAACAAATTAATGCCCAGTTAATTCATTTCTGCTGCTGACCAGTTTGACATCCAGGTTGTTCCCGGAACCTCCTGGGGTCTATGCCTGGAATGCCTTCTTGACAACCACATCCTACATTAGCATCCTGATCACTGCTCAGCAAATGTTAAATGTTAAGCTGTGAGGGACTCCCTTCCCACATTTAAGGAACAGGAAGCAGGTCTGATGCAGCAGGTGCTTCTGCTCTCTAATATTTTCATAGGAGTCATAAATCTGGCGAGATGCATAATCTAAGGTTTTCCAAATTACTAGACTAAGAACCCCCACCCCCGTGTGGAATATCAAAAATTACCTGGGTAGGGCTGGGCATGCTGGTGCAAGCCTGTAATGCCGGCAGCCTGAGTCCGAGGCTTGCAGGGCTGCCAAGTTTGAGCCTGCGTGACTCAGTGAGACCCTGCCTCGAAGAGCTGAGAGTGCGGCTCTGTATAAAGGTGGTGGGTTTGATCCCCAGGGCTAAACAAAGCACCTTGAAGGCGATTCTTCAGAATGCCACTCTAAGTCATTTGGGACACAGCTGACTTTAAAAGTGATTGAATTGTAACTGTAAATATATTTCAATTTTCCACTGCCACTTTCTCAGTTCAAAATCTCCCAAGTGTGGCAAAACAGAAGGCAGTCAAATACGTCAACATGCTCTTACTGC